GAGAAGAAACCCCATTATGGCAATGTTTCAGAATCTTCCCCCACCAAAGAATTTCTGAAATTCAGATACCTGGTAATTCATGATGGCACGCAGACACATGATGCAGACATGAACATCATCCTTTTTACTCACTAATCTTGAATTTTTAAGAGTTCTTCTGCTGGGTAAGGTGTTATACCTATCAACAAAAGATAATCAGGTCAGCTACTGGGTTTTAATCAAAATTTAAGAAACCAGATTTTTTTTTTTAGCTCTGTAATCACCTAAGATTTCAAATAACCTCCTAATTAAGGACAATGCTGATAATCAGCCATCATAACAAATAGTGTTAATTATAGCCATCATTCTTCCATCCATTCCTGGAAAAATGCAAAGTAAATCTTATGTGAGACAACATTTCAGTGGAAGATCTTTTACAATGATCACAACTGCGTTATATTATTTTATTTTGGTGAGGAATTCTAAGGACTTTGAGATTAGCACTGAGGTGCTAGAATACAATAATTCCCAATATTTCCATTTCCTTGAAGTCTGCACACCACTACCTTTTTGAGATTAAGGAAGGAGATTTCTTTGCAAAAGGAAACTGAGTTCACAAAGGCATGAACTTATTTACCTTTTACTTTACTTTTAACATGGTGTCTGTCAGATCTTGGCAATGTGCCCTATCTCCATAATTAATCACTGTTGTGCTGCTTAATATCCGTCAAAATCACATATTTATTCAGAATAAGTTATCTTTAAGTCTCTTTCCAAGAATCACTCATCTTACAGCTATATACAGCCAAACAATGCCAGAATTGTTTGATTTATTATTTGCTGTTTTTAATTTGTTATTAGCCATCCTGACCCACATGGGTGGCCATATAAATCAAATTAAACAAAACACTTCCTTATTGAAAGTATTTTACATCTATCTATTCCGTGTCACAGCCAATCCTGTCTGATTGCAAAAAAGCAAGCAGTGTCAGTACTTGGAAGGGAGACCAATAGAAAATTTCCAAGCTAGACAAAGAATTTGAGAAAACTTTCTGGAAAAAGCCAATGTCTATCCACATTTATGTTGTCCACTAAGACTTCAGGAGTTGAAATGTCAAGGATAACTTCTGCATAAAAAGTAAATCTGATGCAGAATTTAACTCTAGCTGGAAACCACTAGATATGGATTTATGCCACATCCAAAATTTGGGTTTTCTTATCTACAGAATTACAGTACCTAGACCCACTGATCTAATGTACTGCTTACTGTTTATAGTTTTGTATGAAGTCCAATGGGGTAATTACTGCTACCTTATCTTTTGTTTTCTTATGTTCTGTATCTTTTTTTTTAACTAATATTCATTTTATTTATACTCTTTTGACATATTAAATAAAATTAATTTAAAAACGGGGGGGGGGACATCAGGAATTGAGCTCCACTCAAGAGAAACTTCGCACTATTTATGTGTCCACGACTCATCAGGGGTTGAATCTATTTTTTATCTCTCCTTATCATCCATGTTTCCATAATAGCAGACATACAGCCATGTCCCTTATGATGAGGCTGTTACCGCAGAATATTTCAACCTCTTAAAACCTCTCTTTCATAGATATATTTTAAATGCATAATCCTGGACAAGATTCAGAAAATGTTTCAAAGCACCCTTTTTATTCCATTCTCTTCCAAATGCAGTTTCTTGGGGAGGCTCATTCCCAGAGATCCCAAGGTAATGCTGGCTGGGGAATTCAGGGAGTTGAAGTCTACACATCTTCAAGTTGCCAGGTTTGAAAAACACTGGGTTAGAAGCTCAACTGCATGCATGGGCTGCATTGCCCTCTCCTTCACACAGTCCTTTGGATCTGTGCCTAATTCTCCAGTGGATTCCATCTGCTAATTGACTTACCATTCATGGAAAACATGCTTTGTGGAGGAGAGAGCATTGGCAAGCAGTTTACAAAACCGACTTCTGACTTAATTCAAACACAATGGAATTCATTACATCCCAAGCCATTAGAAAAATATACTTTTATTAACACATTTATCTTCGGTATCAAACAAAGTGGTACTATTCCACCTTGCCAAACAAAAGCTAATTATTCTAAAATGGTTTTAGCTTTCCTCTTTAACACTAAAGATATATATTAGCCATTATACTAACTCATCGAATGTAGTTCAGCAGACCAGGAAGCAAGTCTTACAAAAGGGTACAAAGCCAAGGTGTACTGACATGGGTAGAATGATCAGTGTCTCAACATCTAGACTGAAATCTTTAGAATTAGTAGAATACTAATGAATACAGAAAATGTTCCCAATCCTGCAGGCTTCCATTGGCAGCCAGTATCACACAATCACTAAAATCAGCCCAAGTATCAGAGCCTTTGGGCTGAAGAGATCTGCTTGTAAGCAGTACATTCTAGACTTTCCAACTCAGCTGTTGCCATAATCCAGCAAACGACAAGGCAGTTCATGTCCTTTACACTTCATGGAGCACAGAATAAAAGATACAGAAAAACCAATTTCAAAGTCCACTTCCACAACTGTTTTTGTGACTGCAGTCAACATAGGCACAGGAATTATCCCTGCAGTTTTACAGCAAGAGAGTCACTGTTTTCCTCAAATGTACATCTCTGCTCCAATGCTAATAAAAAAATCAGGGCACTGTATGTTAGCTTTGACTTAAATTTGCAGTAAACAGAAACTGCAAGCAATTGGGATCTCCCTTTGGCATAAAATAAATGAGACTGTGTTCCCTTCACTGAACATACATTATAATGAGAAAAACATATCCTGGAGAATATATTTTATACCTGAGATACACAGATATGCTGTGCATCTTGGAACAATACATCCCAATGCTAAGGAAAAATAACCCATTTCAATTCCAATGTTAACCATCTAAATCAGGTTATATTTTAGTTTGCAAAAACACGCATGCATGTATTTTAAATACTCAACCATTTTTGTTAGCTGCCCTATTCTACTTGCTGCTTTAAATGAAAGCAGGAGCAATTAAAAACAAGTTTGAATGAAAAAAAAAATTAGAACTCCGCTGGGCATTTGGACTGTAAGCTGAAGACATTCCAGAGGCAGCTAGGTGAAAAGCAACTCTGGAGGCACTTGAACTGAAGTTGTTCAGGGCAACTAACTATTTGGATGGCGTTTTTGTGGCATCGATAAGTGTGATGAAGAAAAGAATCCCAATGGAGTTGGGGTGCTTAAATAAATATGACATGAGAAAAAGAAAAAACAGTGAACCAGAGAACAAATAAGAAAGTAACAGAAATTGAAACTGATCCAGGAGGAAAAGGATGTTTACAGAAAAACGATAGGAAAATGAAGTCCAGAAAGAGTGAATTTAGATAATGTGTAATCTGCATCTGAATTTTGTATTTCAGCTAGAAACACACAGATATTGAGAACATTGTGTGTTGGGCTTACAACAACTGATTTATTGCTTTTTAAAGAAGTTTCTAAAAATGCAGCATTCCAAAAGCACAAGTACTGTTCAGCTAGATTTCCTGAGGATTATTAAATATCCTAACAGTTAGTTTAATCCTGCAGAGAAAACTGTCCAAATGATATAGCCAATCAGAAATTTTAAGCTATACTTTCAATAATGCCTTCTTTTCCAAATTATTCACTCAAATCTATAGCTAGTAGCTTAACCTTTATCTTTTGCACTTTGATTTTAAATGAATGTACCTCTTGCAAATTATCCTTCTACAGAAATCTGCTCTAAGTCCATTGATATATCCTGACCATCTGTAGTTTATGTTTGAAGAAAAATAATGGAATTACTTTATTTTTGTACTGCCACGCTCCCATTTGGCAGTTTGCAATATAAAGGGTGGGGGCAGTAAACTTAAAATAAAGTGATATTTAATACCTACACCCTTTTTGTGTGTGTGTCCCTTCAAGTCAGTACTGACTCCTGGACAAGTCCCTGCAGTTTTCTTGGCAAGGTTTTTTGGAAGCGGTTTGCCCTTGCCTGCTTCCTAGGGCTGAGAGAGAGTGACTGGCCAAGGCCTCCCAGTTGGCTTGGTGCCTAAGGTGGGAGTAGAACTCTCGGTCTTCCAGTTTCTATCCTGGTGCCTTAACCACTGCACCAACCTGGGTCTTACCTACACCTACACCTATTTGAAAAGTAATGCCTCCATTGAACAAAAAAGTTGCTGGGCGCATGCATCAGGTTCCAAATCAACCTTGCAAAGCTGCCCCCACCATTAAAAATCCAACTGATCTGAAGCTGTTGCTTGTGTAGATCAACATCTTGACACTGTTTTGACTGCATGCAGATGTCTGTAGTTTTCTCGGAGGCACAATGTCAGGAAGCGCTGCGAAGCAAACATTCACATATTGATAAACAAGATAGGCCACAATTAGCACAATGACCTTTCACATGAGTCAAGCAAAGCTCAGGCTAGTTGCAGAATCAAATTTGCAAGAATTTGATAAATGTATTACCAAAAGAGTGTTCTAGATGCAATCGGTGCAAAATATAGCAGCAAACCCGTTGGCGGGGAAGAGACACTTCTTACATATAACACTGGTGTTGGAACAAGCTTCTGTGTACAAGTCCTGGTTTTGACCAGGACCTGCAGGACCACCTGCTTTGAATAGAACTTCCCAGACCAGTGATGTGCCTTTATACTGTAATTTGCCAAGAGTCCATGGAGGTGAAGGTATAAAAATTAAATAAATAATAAATAGATGAACAGCTTTTTTTTTTTTTTTTAAAGTGATCTTCTAGGAATTGGAAGCACTATGGCTGATGACATCACGAATCACTGGAAGAGTAGGTGAGGCCAAAGCCCTAACTCTCTCTCAGCCCTAGGAAGCAGGCAAGGGCAAACCACTTCCAAGAAACCTTGCCAAGAAATCTGCAGGCACTAGTCCAGGCAGTCACCAGGTGTCAACACTGATTCAAAGGCTAATAATAATAATAATAATAATAATAATAATAATAATAATAATCAGCAGCAGCAGCAGCAGCAGCAGCAGCAATAGTTTGAAGGCAAATAATTATATATCTTTAAACTGATAAATCATCTATTTGCAAGTTTTACAATCAATTCTATAAGAAGGTGAAGTCTCCCCATATAAAGCCAATAGCCCTCTTTGGCCATTGCTTTGCCCGATCAACTAAGATTGTATAGTGCAGAGGTGAACAACTTTCTTGCAGGTGGGGAATATTTTGATTTGTTTGGCAATAGGTTGTATTGACCAGTGACATCAGGACATCATCAAAATGGATAGGGCCAGGGTTGGCCAGTTAAGGCAAGGGGTGAAATGAAAAGGCTTAAGAAACCCATTTTGCCTTTTAAAATCCCCAAACCACAAGAACAGCCCAAAAGGTTTGGCCCAACCCATTTCAGGAATGTTCTGAGAGCAGTGGATTTACTCTGCTGGCCCTGCTCCTGTGTTCCTCTCTATCAAGGCCAGCATATCGAAGGAAAACCATAGATTTTTCTGATCAGGAATTCTGATGACCCTTATTGTGTTACAGTTTCACAACCCAAATAAAGAGAAGTAGGAAATGTGGTACTTATTAGCCAAGTATCAAAAACATCACAAAACAATAATTCAAACTCAGCTCAGGAGAAGATCAATATTAATGCTAACAGAAATAGATGTGACTCAAAAAGGGCAAACACCGTAACAAAACTGGCCCTCCACACTAAAATGTTATGATGTAACTCATTATGAAGCAATCCCCCCTCAATTTTATTTCTTCATCTTACCTTAGAGCAGAATGCCTGCTAGAACAGGAAATACTATTGCCAATTGGAGAAGGTAAGTTACTTCCTCGATGGAGATCTTCAATGGATCGACTCCATGGTTTAGATTTGTCCACTGAGTTTTCCATATTATTTTCCAAGCTTTCAAAGTCAAATCTGAAAGGAAATAGACACTTTGTATGACGAGAAGGAGGAGAGAGCTTTCATTTTTTTCCTGCTGCAGAACTCAGAAATGTTCCAATACATTACAACAATAAAGTGGCAGAGAACCATGTAAATACATTTTCCTTTGGGCTGAAACACTGTGCTGGTTTCATGTACATTTGACAATAAACTTGGCTCTTGAAATGGGGGGAAAAAGGGTTGTCACAAGGAAAGGAGGAAAAAGTCATACAATTTTATAGAGACTCTACCTAATTTCAATTTTGCTTAATTTCTTGGATGACCAAAAAAAACCCAAAAACCCTTTCTATACTATAATAGAGATCAAATTTCAAGAATGCACCTAGTTTTAAAAATAAATAAATAAACTATGTATTCTAATTACTTTCAACTGTCAATATGCAATGGAAATGTTTCTTCCAATACGTTGGCCAAGGCCAAACTCCAAACATATGTAATACATTACTGTAATCATGACAAATCTTCCTTTGTTTGGTTTATTTCTCAGCCCTTGTCTAACATACTGCTGGTTGAAAGGAGAATCATGTCATCCTTTTGCACAGACTTCAAGGCTACTTCTCAAACTTAGCATGTGAAAAGGAATGGATGGTAAGTAAAGCTGCTTGCTTTTATTTCAGAGGCTGGTTCACACAAAATCTTAAATCACAATATAGTTCGTTGGTTTTTCGCTTGGTATGATGTGCAAAACACATTCTGTATGATTTGTAAACCTCAGCTTCCTTTTGCAGACTGATTCACACATCACATCAAAAAATCCCCAACAAATCACATTAGGGTTTAGCTTCATGTGAGAATGCAGCCATTGTTTTTAAAGTCAGTTGTTCTTCTGCCATGTGCCATTCTTCTTTCCTCATTTTTTCCTTTAGCACAATTTAGCCCCCTTCTTATCCAACAGTGGAAGCACGTTTTTAAGGTTTCCAGCCTAAAAATAACATTATGGTTTTTTGCATCTTGGAATGTTTGATCCTGATCCAGAAGACATGCAAGTGAAGCAGAAACCTCTTATTCTGCATATGCTCCTTCCCTTCATTGCAGGGAAGGAAAGGGTGCTCTGAAGCCCTGCCCAAGCCGCCTTCCATCAGTAGGAGGACAGCTTCATAGGGGAATTTTTCACGGGAAGCTTACAGGCAGCCTGCCTGCTTCCTCTCACTGCTGAGTCTGAGGACTGATTCAAGTATTAGCAAGAAGCAAGGAAAGGGGAAGAAGCATGACCATTGTGTGCTTCTCTTTCTGCTGTAGCACACACCGTGGAATTCATGGGTTTTGTCTGGGCCTCAACTTAGCAAAGATATGAAACCTCCCTCTGCAAATTGGAGCAGGCAAACATCTACTTTGGGGACAGACTACAGCTCAGTTATAGACCACACGCTTTGTAAGCAGAAGGTCCCTCCACATTTTATTCCTGGCATCTCCAGTTAAAGGAACTCAAGTAAGAAGGAGATGCACATCAGGAAACTTCTGACAAATTAGTAGAAGCCACTTGGAATAAGGCAACTTCCTGTATGCCTCACCAGCAATCCCCCATGCCTTTGTTTGTCCTGTTGCTGCGTGAACATTTGAGTTGGCTTTCATTGTACATTCTGAAGACTTGGCTGTGGGCAGAGTAGATCTCAGCACATAATAACCATTTATCATGGCTTTCCAATGTTTCCAGAACTGACACTGCCATTTATTGTCCCTGAAGTGAGTGGCACAATTGACATATCAGAGAACAGAGACTTTATGGCAGCCACCTCTGGAAGACAGACATATAATTATTTGAATAACAGGGTTTTGCACCAACTGTGTTCACCCTTTACTGCAACAGGATGCACTAATAATATCCTTCTCCCCCTCCCCGAATTGTGAATGTGTGGATCATATTATACTTACGTGACTGCATACTGTGCAAAAGACAAATACTCCACCAAAACATCCAGGCCTTTGTTGTCTTCATTCAAAAATTCCCTGACCCACCTGGCAAAACAATCGGCAAAAGAGATCACTATATTTATATCTGTGCGCAAACCAAACCTTAAAGGATGGAAAACACGCTCATTTCTTACTCAGAATCTCAAAAAAGGTAAAAGCCTGAGAAGCATATTTTCAGAGCCAGCTCCAGACTTACCTTGAGTGTGACTGTCTACTTTATGCAGGGTTTGGGAATATCATTAGAGGTCAGCAAAGTGGTTATATTATGATGGCTGGTTGCACAGTCAGCCAGATGTTTATAGACTGGATTTGGCATATTTGTCCACCTACTGAGTTCTTCCCACGGATCAGGGACAGGCAAATGCTGTTTAATATTATTGTTGGTTGCACAGTCAGCCAGATGTTTAGATTGGATTTGGCATTTTATCCACCTATCAAGTCCTTCCGAAGGACCTGGGATAGGCAGATGTGGTTGTTTGATGGTGTTAGGTATCGTCGCAGAATGCAAGCTGTTCCAAGTAAAGCTGCCTTTTACAATTGACTGATGGTGATTTTGTCAATGCCAATGGTCTTCAAGGGGTGCTCCAGATGTTTT